CATAAATAGATGGAGTTTTGTTTTTGTTGTAGTAGGCAGGGATGGGGAAATGGCCCATGAAGGGCGGAATGCTGGTTTGCTATTGTTTAGTTGCCTTTATTTGAAAAGATCGAGGATATGACACAAATTGAGTACAAATGGGAAAGGACTATTTCCCCATAAAGAATACTCTGGAGCCTGCTTAGGAAGGTTTTAATCTGGTTTATTAAAAAAACAAGGGAAAATGCAGTGTATGGGACTTGTTTTACACAAAAACTATTTGGTCCATGAATGGACCAGGTTCCACAGGCACTTTGAAATCAGGGATGTATTTTCTTACAATTAATCTGAGAACAAGTTTTGAGGGTATCTTTGTAACCGTTATTTACAATTTCAGTCACAGTACTGCAATTAACACATGATTTCATCCCCCACCTCTAAACAATGGTCGGTCTAGCATTTGGAGTTTTGCCATCTACTGGGCACATGTTCTGTGTGTACAAATACAAGTGTTCGGTAAGTTGATTGCAGTCATGTGGATAAGTTGAGTGGGTGGTGAGTGGTAAAGGCTCAAATTTTTCACACAAAAATTGTCAAAAGTTTTAGAGAGAAAGAGATCAGTTTAGATGGCTTTTGGGAGGTAGATTCAATTGAGAAAGCGCAATTATCAACAAAATTAATTTGTTCTACGAGTCTAGATTGTAATACCCATATAGTAATAATAATGATAATTAGTGTTATATTTCTAAAAAGGTCACTTAGGAGACATTTTGTGGTAAATTTTTCAACATTAGGGAGACATCAGTCATTAGGGAGACATTTCAGTGTTTCCCTAATGCTCCAACTATACCAAATGGAGGAAAATTTTTAGTGTCCACATTTTGAGAGATGATAGATTAGGGTCTGAAAGGAAAAAATGCAAATTTTGGTTAAGATCGGATTAGGGAATATTGAATAATGGGACGGTTAAGTTTGAAAAAATTTGGGCATGTTCCTATAGGAATGTCTCCCTAGTGACCCATTTTTGGTAATAATAATATTAATAATATTAATTGTTTAAAGCCCATTTCATAAAACAAATCTCAACAGGCTGTACATAAATAAAATACGCAAATACTATGACCTTAAGACTAAAACAAGATTACCTACAAATTATACAGTAGAAGGCTAAAATAAGACACCGTACCCAACACCCCTAAATAAAAAAAAGCACTCACCCACCAAACACAACTGCCGGATTCAACACCTTGGCCTTCAGAATGTACATGTAGCTACAAGTAACATAATAAAAAAGACTCAAAAAAAAGTTAAGTAGCGTTACAACCTCAGCAACAATAAGAGTTCTGGAGGGCACATGGAGTTATGCCGTCTAGTTTCTGGAAGTAGGTCCAACCCTACATTGATTCGCTCGTCTTGATTGTTGCATACTTTGCTTTTCTAGTTTCATGGTGATGCTGTATTCAACATTGATCTTATAACTATAAATATCCTTCCAGTATATTACTTGAAATAAAGTCTACATTTCGTGTGGTCATGATGATTGGTGAGAGCATAGATCTGTCAAGACACAAGAAGTTGTCAAAGTAATGTTGCATGACGTCATTTTACAAAGAAATAAAAACAATGTGGCATTTTAAATTCAAGAAATGCCCTTTTAAAGTAGTTTCTCAAATACTTGTAACTGTCTGCATCATTTGCTTCAATTGCGACATAGCATTTCCATACATGTCATCTAAGACTGCTAATGGTGCTGTCTGTGCCTCTCTTTGTCAACGTTGAAAATGGGCTTACAAATTCTGAGCAGCATAGTGAAATTTGGCTAAACAAATGTTTCCAAAGTTTAGGAAGTATAAAGGAATATTGTATTGCTACAGACACACAGACATAACCAAGATCAAACTTGAACTAAAACTACTCTGGGTAGAGGTAAAACACTCTAGATGGCATTAATAAACTGTTACTTAGCTTGTTTTACTGGCCCCTACGGTGGAAACCAGACTCTGGTAGCTCTTGCCAATTGCCAGAACCATCCTGCATTTACAACTCTGTCTGACAGGTGATTTCAAGCTACCCACTTTGAATGGGATGTAGAAACTGGGTTGCTAGTTCCAGGTTGTGTTTGTGTTCTGAGTGCTCACAGTCCGCACCATGTGATCTCAGTTCTATTAGGGGGAATGTTCTTGACCTTGTTCTTGGCTCAGACAGTTTTCACGCTTATCAGACCTCGCAGACAATGTTTTTGACTCATCATAGATCTGTGAGTGTCATGCTGTGCATTGGGCCTGTAGCAACTTACTCCAAAATCAAATTGTCCCAATTTTAAGTTCCACAAAGCAGACTTGTTTGACCTTCAGCAGACACTTAATGTTCCATGGTGTCTTCTAGAGGCAACATCTGACTGCCGCACCCTTCTATGACTTCATTGAAGTTGCTGTGACTGACGTTTTACCAGTTGTGTGTCTGCAAAGGTTCTCTCCCCTGTGGTTTGATGGAGAAGTGTGCCAAAGAGTGAGCTTTCTGCACTAAACAACAGGATCCCACACCTCAAAACATAGCTTCCTTTAGGTCTGCTAGATCTTTTTTCAAGTGGCTTATCTGGTACAAATCCAGCATTTACTTGTAAACAGTTTCAAGGGACCTTGGGAAGAACCCCAAATGTTCTTGGAGTCCCATCAAAGCACACTGGGGTCAAAGCATCCAATACAGCTAGGAAGGCAGCCTTTTTGAAGGAGTATTTTCAGTTCGTGTATTCACCTACACCTGTGGTTTCAGACACTGAATTGCCTCCAATTTAGTCTCATCATCTTGATCCAATGCCAGCAATTACAGTTGAGGACTGTGAGGTTCTTGATAAGTTGCTGAACATGGACACCTGCCTACCATAAGGCCTGTGGCCTTGACAACTTGCAAGGTTTTGTAAAAGTCATGTTCTGACAGTTTATGTAGCTCCTTGTCTTATTTATTTTATAGATCTTTGTATGAGGGCAGTTTTCTATCAATTGGAAGAAGGCCAACATTGCTGCTGTCCATATTTCTGGCAAAAGGGAAAATGTTACCAATTACCGAGCTATTTCATTAATTTCATTAATCTCCAAGGTCTTCAAAAAGATTCTATGTGAACAGTTACTATGTCGTGTAAAGCTAGTCATTGCTGAGGAGTAGCACAGTTTTGTACCAGGTAGAGATTGTTCAACCAATCTTACTTTATTGCTTTAGGATGCTTATTGTGCTGTTCATTAGGGTAGATGGCATGATGTTGTTTACACCGAGTTTTTAAAGTATTTGACAGAGTTAACCACCAGTTTCCTCTCCACAAGCTTGGCTCTATCACATTCAACCTAATCTACTGAAACTGCTAAAGAGTTATGTAACAGGCAAAAAACATTGAGTTGTATTGGATGGTTTTATTCAAGCTGGAAAAACTGCTCCTTTCGGAATTCCCCTTTTTCGTTGATATTGTTAAGTATAAAATGATATTTCCCAGTGTATAAACAACCAGAGTTTACTTTTTGCGGACGACCTCAAGGTTTTTCATCAAATTAACTGTGTTGATAACAATCTGTCTCTGTAATCTGATTTACAGAATATTCACTTGTGGTGCTCCACTTGGCACTTGTTTCATAATCTCAGGAAGTGCAGTGTCCTTACTCTCACTCTCAAAAAGAAACCTGTGTTTTTAATTACCCCATTTGTGATTAATTACCCCCTCTGTTGGAGTGAGTCAGTGTAAAAAAAAAAACTGGGTATTTTTGTTGACACTAAACTTAACTTTGTTTCTCTTGTAGATTCTCTGATTAAGAAGGCTAGTCGCCTAATAGGTCTGGTGTGGCGTAGTTTTCGTTGATGCAGTGGCATATATTTCCTGTGTACATTGTACTGTACTATTGTTCAACCTCACCTGGAGTGTTGCTGTGTAGTTTTTAACTCTATTTCCAAGTCTCAATCAGACAGGCGAGAGAGAGTTCAGAGGCGTCACCTCTTTTTCATGTTTAGGACTTTCGATAGTAGCTACCTCAATTTTGTTGATCCCAGATATGGTGAATTCTGTGATCTCTTCAAGTCACCTCTTCTTCAGAGAGGAATTGTTAATGATTGCGTGTATATAGCAACATATCCACAATGTTTTTTTTTCTGACGCTAATCCATTTCAATTGCGTATTCCTGTTCATCATACTAGGACTGTAAGCAACTACACCCTGCATGTCCCAAGAGGTTATGTTGAAGCTGACTTAGCAGGGTTTTGTTTCCAGAATTTCATCAACCTACAACCGACTTCATGGGACATGTGGTGTGTTTGCGGCAGATTTGCTCAATGTCTTTCATGGAGAGATTTACAGAAGTTCACTTATAATGTTTTGAAATTATTGGACAGATTTTATTCCCTCTTTTCTCTTCCCTTTCCAAGGCCTTCCCTATCCCCCCTTCCTATTCTTTGGTTTTACCCTCCCCCATTTTTCCTGGACCCTTGCAAACGTTCCTTCCTCTCGAGATCCTATCCACCCCTGCCCTTCCTTTCCCTTCCCAACTGACCTTTACCACAGACCATTTTTTCTTTCTTCCACCCCCTAACTCCCAGCCCTCCCCTTTTGTCCTACCCCTGTCTCTCCCTCTTTATATTCGCTTTTCTGTATCATTTGTCATGTGTTTCCGTTTTTGCTTATTTTTGTGTGTGCTTGATTGGTGTTGATTAATATCGATTTCTTTGTTGTAACAACTTAATGCAATTTTATATCTTTTACAGTTGTATTCATTATTTTTATTTTAAACTATGTATTTAACTTCCTTTTTAAACTCCCTGTAATTGCCGGCTCGCTGCTGTTGGTGATATTTGATAAATATATAAATAGTATAGTAGGGCTACATCCCAATCTCTTGTCTAGAGTTAGTCTAGGTCTTTGCTTCATTGGAAATGCTTGGAGACGCGTAGACAATAGACCTAGCCATAGCTCTGGAAGCCTGTTTCAGACACGGCCTAAGTACATGTATATCCACACGTATTTATTATTATTATTTTTTTATAGGCAGCCGTATGCTGGAGGTGTCTACTTACTGGGATCAGGGTACATGTCTATTCCGCCTCAAGCAACAAGTAAGTACATTGAAACAAACAGCCACTTTATGATATAAGTTTTTTAACCAGTATTAGCAGAACAGGGTTAAAAATACGCACATGAACAGACCTAAGACACATAATGACATCACACTGTGTTTACATGTGCACTTTTCTTTAGGAGCCAGACAGGGATGAGACCAATCAAACTCCCATGGAAAAGAACACTTGTGGCATTATTATTTCAGTAGTAGGTCCGTCGTAGTAACAAGTCTATATATAATCAGTTAAAGTATGTTTCTCACATATAGTAGCATACCTTTGTGTCAGAAATTGGGAAATGGGAAAGGTTGGGGGGGTTGACTTGTCTGGCCATGAAACTTTGAAAAGCGGGGAAGGGGAAGGTTGGGTGACACCATATGAGTCTTTGTAGTGGTCAGTGTTCATGATGTTTATGTACATCTGTAATATGTATTCAGAGCAACATATTCAAAGCTTGTAAGAAATTGTTTTCCTATTTCTAGTGAAAATTTATTAATTTTAATTGTTGGAAGTCTGAGAAATTCCTCAAAATCCACTTTTTTTTTGCTTACCACAGAAAAGTGGGACGATGATTCAATATTATTCCCCCACTCAAACTAATTGCCTGGTTTCTACTCGCTTATTCAAAACTATCTGACAAATTTTGACTTCCCTGTTATAGCACACAGAATAATGGAGTGCACCAACTTATTTATTTCTTTTGATTGACAAACCAATAGGAATGGTAGGATGATTAATTGAGATACTTCTTTTGAGCTAAACAATAAATTGAGAGCACTGACAGAAGAAAAATGAGCACATTTTGTGTTAGTAAAGTTTTGAATTTGTGTTTGTGGTTTCTAGATTTCCATGCTGACATTGCGTGCATCTATTCTGATCTTGTTCCCATCTACCCATTTGCATTCCGGACACATGCCCATGAACTGAGTTCGGTCATTACTGGATATCGCATACGCCAAAGTGAATGGACCCTACTCGGCAAGGGTAACCCCAAATGGGCTCAGGTAACTCTGATTTTTTAAACTCATTCAGAAAAAGGGGCAAAAAAAAAGTAGACTTATTTTTCAAAACTTAACTGCTTGCTGCCGGGTGTAATTTGAAGTTGCATGACGTAAAACCAGAAGATTTTCGTTTTCAAAATTCTTCGAAAAATCATAACTTCATTTACTAGACATTTACACCCACATGAATGATTGTCTAACAGACAACATTTATTGATGTCAGAGAATTTCAGCCAGGCCTGCCGCCTGGTAAAAAGAGTCCAGATTATGCGGTGTTTCATAAGTTTCTTTTGTTCCCTTAACTGGCACCGTGTGCAGCTTCTGTCTTTTCAATAGGGATCAGATTAGCATGCAGTGGTATTGTATTGCACATCACTGGAACGCTGGAGCTCTTTTGTTCCTGGCGGTAATCCGCTTGTGCTGTATTTCACAAACAGTGGTATGATGTTTCAAAACAATGATGGATTTCCTCCTCTATTGACAACTGAAAAATGTTACCAATTCCCAGCAGTTCGGACTTTTGTTCCGGGTACGGTCTTTTGTTATAAGGCCTTGCTCTTTTTTCCAGTTTCGTGTATAAAGCCTATGTGCCCGAAACTGGGTTCCCCGGCAGGAAGTGGTTAAAGAGTGTCAGTTGTGGGAACTGATATTATTTTGTTGGTTGGTTTGGGGTGGTTGTGTGGTTGTGCTAGGTCGGGTTGGATTGTTACAGGGGTGATATTTCTCTGGATTTTTCCAGATTTCCAGAATTCTTCATTCCTTGAGACACCTTGTGGATTTTTGGCATTTTCTGTATCATTGCCTAGTTTTGACTAGACCAGGTTTTACTTCCCACACTTGTTCAAAATGAACAAAACTTGCACAAGTCCAGGTTCAGAGCGAAAGTTTTTCCATTGTTACTACTGGAAATGGGCTTAATTACTTAATTGTAATGGATGTAACCAATATGTAGTACAGCGGAACGCCACTATAACGAACAAGACTGGGTCCACACTAAATGTTCAGTACAGCGGTCGTTTGGCATATTGAATTTAACTGCCAAACGTTTTGTTGCCATGTTGAATAGCGCCCTCTCTTGTCTAACCGAAGTGCATCCTCTTGCGATATCTTGGTTCACTGTTTTCGTGATGTTTTTCGTTGCATTCAAGTTTAAGATTTCTAGAAATGTATCTGTTAATTAAACCGATACGTTGTCAAGGGGCTGCCATCAAAGTGGCAAGATAATGGCTGAGAAATCTGTGGGCGTGAGTGAGTAAGCTGAACTGTTTGAGCAGGCCCCGTCTGGTTGGTTTTTCCTTGTTTGAACAAGATTAGCACTGAATCAACCACTGTGTTCTTATGACAAAGCTCAATGTTGGATATTCACAAAAGGGAACGCTGGATTGAGCACCATGATCTTGCAGTAAATTTCCCAACTCTCATAAATCCCCAAAATGCTGAAAGCAAGACGGCTTTAAACATCACACTTTGAAAATGGGATTGCAAGTATGAGGTTATGCATGCAACAGATCTGCTGAAATTGGCAAGGATATTGGTAGTCTATCATCAATAGATGGCCGATCCCGCCTACAGCCCTTTAACTGTTAAGTGACAATGAAATCTTGTTTTGGATCTGGCCAACCATTGATTTTGTGAAAAAATCCCACTCCAGCAACATACGAAGCAATGGTCGAAGGCGCCAAGTTACGCAAGACAACCATGCAACAAATTCTCGAATATCAAGGGGTACTGCTGAGGATGTCGCACCAGGTCTTCACCTCATGAATGGACAAAATGCATTCCAGCCTGTGGTATATGCCTTCCTTGTGTTTGATGCAACAGAAATACCCAAAAGGTGATTCATCTCACCTACACACTTCGGGGAGGATTGGTAGCGGAGTCATGACGCGCTCGGCATGTGGGGCTGCGATGCGAAACCGCTGCATCTGAAAACGGGACAGAGCATCGGCTTGCTCATTATGTACTCCCGGAACATGAATTGCCCTAAACACGATGTTAAATTGTAGGCAGTCCAGCACAAATATGCGCAATAAATGCATAATTTGGGACAACCAAAAGACTGCTTATTGACAATTTGCATGACTGCTGCATTGTCTGAAATCTAATCTTATGATTGACCAACACAGAGCCCCAGCACTTAATGGGAACCATTAAAGGAAAAATTTCCAGAAGAGCAATTGATGGGGGATTCTGAATCACATCCTCTGGCCATCTACCTTTAGTCCATTTGCCACCAAAGTATACCCCGAAACTGATGCTTGCTGCCGCATCAATAAACAGTTCTAATACTTCATTACTTTCCCACTCATTGCTCAGAAAAGCAGACGCCATTGAACTGTGACAAAAACCGCAACCACATTAACAAATCTAACCTGGCACCTTTATTTATGCGATATTTGTGGTGCTGTTTAGTGAGCCCGGTAGTGAGTGCAATTAAACACCTTGTGAATGCTCTTCCTGGAGCAATGGTTTTACACAAGAAATTTAGTGAGCCTACTACTGATTGCACCTCAACCAAAGTGAAACAGAGATGAGACATCATTTCAAGCAATGGGAACACTCCCTCTGAACCTTGGATGACAGCGTTTCAGTCTATTAATGAATCTCTGTCCTCCCTCGTCCACTGCCTGAGCGACAAACCCACACCAGCTTCTACCGCTCTGGACCCGGACCTACCTCTCCTGGTTGCAGACGACTACTCAGAACATGGAACTTATTGAGGTTTAAGTCAAGCTAGTGTTCCCCTTCTGGAACATTCTGCTACGAATGGGAGCATCCATGAATCCACATGGCTGTGCTTCAGTCAAGCAACAGACCAGGTCGCCAAAAGAGGACATCAACTTTGTCGGCGATTTTCCCCATTCAATTCCCCTATCCCTCTTGGGTCATTGTCCTGTTGTTTCCGGGACAGCCTTTACAGAGGCAATACCGGGCCACGGAGCCTGCCAGCCATTTGCGTGGTTGGGGCCTCCGAACGCTGTACACCCTGTCTTCCAACTACCTTCTCGGAAGACTAATTCTATCCCCTTGTTCCCCCTGCCCGCTCTGGGAAGACCCCCTATAGAGACAGCACCAGGCAATGCGGGTACAACACCGCCTGCATCCTGGGCATTGGTACTACCATGAATCACAAATCTCCCTATTCATGCCACGTGTCTGACAAGGCTGGCGGTGGGAAGACCCCACGTCCCTCGTGCCCCAGCTCTACTGAGCGCTCCAACACCTCGAACTACTGTTCTCAATCACCCTTCATTGGGGGCATGCAGGTATGGGTGGATAGTATATGTTACCGGGCAACCCCCTGCGTTAGTCGGTGTGACTCCAGTGGACGAAATACAGTTATGCAAGGACAATGCAGACCACAGCATAGGTAACCGGTCTGCTCTGCTGCCGAGGTTTCTGTATACCGTATGTTGTTCAGTAGTTCCCATTCCTCCCTACACCCGGGACTAGACTTGAACCAGCCATTCTTTGGGATATTCAGTGGACACTACACCTTATCATTGCACTGCGCACCAACCTTGGACTGGTGTCTATCCCATGTCAGCAGGTGCGGAGCCAAGAAACAATGACTATGTACAAGCAGTCTACCGGATACAACTTTCCCACCTCTGGTGCCTGTTCTCCGAGGCCTGCAGGAGACGATCCCGCACTTTGCCCGCAGACCTATGTATTAGGTGTGTATTGGGTGTGCTATGTGTTAATTAATATACCGGGGAATCCTGCTCGACAAGCCTTTGCTTTTTGGGACCCCCATCCACATTTCTTTATTTATTCGTGACATATTGTAGTGGACAGTTATGTAGTAAATAAAGAATGAATGAATGACTTCTGCCAATTGCCATGTGCCTGATCTCACTGATGCCTGAGACAACCTGCCCCATTTCTGGCCTTGCCCTGGTGATGACACCATTTGCATTTGGATCCATTATTGCATTTCTCTTGTTTGCATCCACTTCTTGGGTGTTTGAATTCACTAAGGCGTGAGGTCAAAATACAAACGCTTTTGAAAGTGTTCAACGCTTTGTAAACGGTAAGCCCCACGGACGGTCAACGTTGAACAGATGAACGCTTCAGCAAGGCTGGCCAAACTGTTGCGATCGAGTACACCGTTCACTCTGCAGCTTCCAGTAAACAATGGACAGCTCATCGCATTACTGCATATTAGACTTTTGTGGTCTAGTGGATGAGTCATAACAATAGCTCTTTACTTTGCAGCTCCACAGGAGGATTTAGATCGGCACACTGTTTTAACTTCCTGATAAAACATGTGTACTGAGTAGTTGTGTTGCTAATAAATTGTGAAATATCTGCGCTGCCGGTTTCCAGACCAGTCTGTTCAGGTCTTGATACCCTGTAATCTTGATATTTTGTCTCGGTCTCGTGAATCTAATACACACCTAACTGTATACCTGCAGAATCGAATATACTAACTCGAAATAGTATTTACCTAAATCATACATGGCGTAGTGTTCTGTTCGCCAACATGTAGTTATAGATAAAACCTCTTTTTTTTGGCCTTGTGCACAAGCTGGGACTCAGCATTGCGCACTCGCAGGTTTTCATGTGTAGGATCGAGGAAGACACGTACGCAAACTACGCGCTTTCTACTTCGCGACTGCACCTGCACGATTTAAGGATACATGTTTTTTCTTGAAGTCAGTAGTACATGCGTGCCCGTTGCAATATGTTTCGATTCTTTTACGATTCTTTTGTACTCTTTGAATACTTTGTGGCTGTACAAAATTCATGTTGGAAAAACGGGTCGGGTTTTATACTAATCTCTGGTGTTTGACTTTACCTATTAAACTGTAATGCACAGTAAATTAAAATAATAAACACAATTTAATCCAGTGCTGCAGGCGAACCGCCGAACCGAGGCTAAAATCAAACAAGGCACTTTCGAACCGAACCAAACTGTTTGGTTTGGATGTACGGCTTAAAAGGGCATTTCATTGATGGCACGCGGGAATACATAAAAATACAAATAAACTTAATAAAAA